CATTACTCTTGATTAATTTGTGCATGGCAACAAAAGCAAAATAGTTGCTTTGCAAAATGTTTTGCCTTTTTAAGCTATCTTGTATTTCCCAAGTTTCTGTATACAATGATGCATAAATACAATCCATGGAAATTTTTTAAAATAATTCTTATTCATAGATGAATTAGTGCAGTGGAAACCAATATTAGTAAATCTAGCTCTATCATACCATTTTCATGACTTTAGGAGAGAGAAAAATAAAATTGTTAACACATAAAAATCCCCATATAATGAGATAAATTTACATTATTTTTTTCTTCTTTACACCTAGAGAATGGGACATTGTAGAAACTGAAGAGCATTATAAGAGCCGATGGAGATCTATCAGGATTCTGTATCTTACTATGTTTCTCAGCAGTGTAGGTAAGTATTATAAATGCATAATTTTAAAAATTCCGATAAAATATCAGAACATTTTAACTCATTTAATTTTTCAAAATTGTCTTTTATTGTGCTAAAAAATGCATAACATAGTATTTACCATCTTACCATATCTATGTCCAGTAGTGCTAAGCATATCCACATTCTTGTGCAACTAGTCTCTAGAATGTTTTGTTTTACAAAACCCAAACTCTATACTCCCCATTTTATCCTTCCCCAGCCCCTGGTAACCACCATTCTACTTTCCGTTTTTCTGAATTTGACTATTCTAAATACCTCACATAAGTGGAATCATATAGTATTTTTCTTTTTGTAACTAGCTTATTTCGCTAATGTCTTCAAGATTCATCTATGTCGTAGCATGTAATATAATTTCCTTCTTTTTAAGGCTGAATAGTTCATTGTATTGTAGGGAAGGAAAAACTTTTCCTCTACCCTTTTATGTTATATACCTGATGCCTATGAATTAAGCTGACAAAAGACAGATTAATAGGAAAAAAAATCATACAAATTTATGTGATGTTAATATTTTTATGTGAATGAGAGACTTCATAGAAAAGAAGTGAAAACCCCAAAGAAGTGGTTAGATTCTGTTATATATCATTTTAACAAAGGGTGATAAATTGTGGAGAAATGACTAGAAAAAGGAAGGGGGCTTGGGCTTGCATGAATACTAAATCGTGGGAAAATGACTGGGAAAAAATGAGGGAGACTATTGGTAGATTAGGGTTGTTTTAGTAAGGTTTGTTTG